TGTAAGTAATCTACACATGAAGAAATTTCAAAGGAGATCTTAATAATTCTTGAATTACAATTGTATCAGAATATATCGTGTCAAAAAACTATCAAGAACTTAAATAAAATGTTCATATGCTTTTGACCCAGTGAATTGACTCGTGGAAGTCATTCAGGAGGAAAGAGCCCGAACACTTTTTTCACCCAAAGACTCTTCACTACATCTTTCTTTACCAAATAAAAATGGAAATTTACTTGAATAAAAATGGAAATCAAAGATATCTATGACCAGACGCACTCACCAAATAATGGTACAAATATACTATGTAATATTATATATTAAAATTAAAATTTAAGTTTTAAAAACGTGATGTAAAATATTACCTCAGAAATATATAAACACATACATGAAAATGTGTATAACAACTTTATAATAGGGAAAAACTTCATGTTTTAAAAAAGAAATAAAGTGTGATTTAGAAAAAGATAAAAGAATTGAGATAATTTCTTTTACTAGGAATGCGAATCCTTTGTCTATTCAGTTTGCAGAAATAAATCAGACAGCCAAAAAAATCAAAGAGGGGAAGGATCATTTGCTGTACCTAATAGCACCAGAGACTTTTTAATACCTGTTTCAGAGAATGATGCTGTTAATATCTAACAAAAGAAAATAAAGTAGTGCCAGGGATTTAGCTCAGTGGTTTTGCTGCCTGCTGCACAAGTGCAAGGACCTGAGTTCAATCCCCGGTACCAAAAAAGAAAAGAAAGTGAAAAAGATAAGAGTAAGAGAATGGCCTACAAAAATGTCCAGGTTTTCAGCTTCTTCTCAATTAGACCAGTTAATTATGACAACACGCTAAGATGCTACTTTTCTTGATCTTACCAGAATGTGTCAACAAAGATTTATATACAATTATACAAAGATTGCTACTCAACTAAGGTGATGATAAAATGCCAGCAATTATAAAATATACTGTATATCAACTTCAAAAAAGGTAAAATGTGAAAAAGGTTTGGCTTATAATTGATGATAAAGAATATTTTAATTTTAATAACATAATTCTTTGTCAAATATGACTATAAGCCTCTGTCAAATCTTTATAAAAGGCTGTGGAAGACATAACTTTTTATCATTTATCTTGTATGTAATAAATAACAAAAAAGCTACTGTACACAAGGAAAAAATATTTTAGAGGAGAGATCAAAAGAATTAGTAAAAGTGGTTTTTCCTTCTCTTACGGCAAGGATGTTGGGGTGACAAATGAGTCAGGTTACAGTAACAACTGAGAATCTAAGAGAATAATAAGCTTTCTCTTTCAAATGCTGAAAATACTTGTCTTACTCCAGGCAGAGGACTACATATAAAATTTACTTTAAAATACAGAGTAGCAGTGGCAGTGGTGCAGTATCTCTCACTATGGTTGTAGATCAGAAACACATGGAGAGCTTATAAAACTCCCAAAAGCCAGTCTGGCCCCAGAGCAATTAAATCAGAATGCCTGGCATCAGTAATTTTTAAAGCTCCTTAGGCGAAGAATCCATATTCAGCCATGGTCAAGAACCATTTCTATGGGTAGTATTGTTCTACTTAGAAATTCACACTCCAAAACTGACTGGCTAGGATTTGAAAAGATCATACTTGGAGATGGCTGCTACTAAGATTTCTGTTTCAATCTTTGATTATTAATCTTTATATTATTAATCAATGCTAAAGATTTTGATCATCAAATGAAGTGGATATTCACTGATAAAATTAGTGGTTCATTAAATACCAAAGTGGAGTTGTACTTGTGAAATTCACTGCATTCCAGTTATATAGACTAGCTAAATTAACGTAGGCATATTCTACTCTTGCACTGGGGAAAGAGTAGACTCTGAAGAGACATTTATCCTTCTTTTTTTTTTTTTTTTTTGTACCGAGGATCGAACTGAGGTCCTTGTGCTTGTGAGGCAGGCGGTGGGAGACATATATCCTTAAGTGGTACCTCAGGTTTAATCCCTAAGTTATCTGGAGATCCTGAGACAATATCTTGTCTCTAGAATATTGTTTTATCTAGCCAGGATGACCATTTTATGTAACAACAGAGAACTGAGGCTTCATCAGATTTAAGGAACAGGGTATAATAAATATTTATGCTTGCTGGCTCACTGCTTTAATGCTTGCTTATGGCTCACTGTTTTATTTTTTTAACCTTTGGAACTTTATTTTTTTATTTTTATATTGGTACATTTTAGGTATACAATATAATGACATTGGTCACTGGAAATTTGCACCTTTACATAATCTCTCTTGGTTCTTATTTTTTCCCCATTCCCCTGCCCTCCCTTCGACTCCTCCATCCCTCCCTATTTACAAAGACTTTTTTTCCATTTTTTTATATTAATTCCACTCTCTTCTTTCCTTTCCCCTAATGGATGGCTCACTGTTTTAATGTTTGCTTAATGCTTGCTTATGCTTATTTATGTACCAAATTAACAACCAAGATATCTACAAAAAAGACCAAGATTTGGTCATGTACAAACTGGTTTTGGGTAATTTCTAATTATCAGAATGACCAGAACTTTAAAACATCACAAACAAAAGAATTACACATATCCTGGGAGAGTTTTTGGACTAAAGAAGTAGATTAATTCAATCAAAGGAAAACAGGCATACACTGACAAGGATAGCTTATAAAACATAACAGAAGAGGATGCTTGGACTTCAAGTGTTCTAAGGTTCTTAAGTTGTTCAGAATGAAGGTAAAAGATATTTATTGGCTTTAGGCTTCTGAATGTTAAATATGAATATTAAAATTTTCTAGGCTAACCACTTAAGGAATAGTGGCAGAATAAATAACTTCCCAGGGAAAATGAGATGAGAAATACAATACAAATGAAGATATGAAAGGAATTTTTCCTTGTGTTTAAAAATTAAGAAACACACTTCAAAAGAACTCATAGAAGGGCCTGGGATTTAGCTCAGTGGTTCTGGCGCCTGCCGCATAAACACAAGGTCCTGAGTTCGATCTCTGGTACTGGAAAAAAAAAGAACTCACAGAGCAAAAAAAAAGAAAAAGTTAGATAAAACATATATGAAAACTTACGCGATATAGATAAATACAGCTGTTTAAAGAAAAATTTAGAAACTCTAATACTATTTTTAAAAGGCTGATAATACAATCAACAACTGATGTGAGAAACTAGAAAAGACCCAAAAAGAATTAACTCAAAAGAAAGCAGGGGGGAAAAAATAAAGAGAAGGAATGGGGAAAAAAGGAGAACTGTCTCTGCCACTAACAGTCAACTGATTTTTTTTTACTCTGGATATCTCATTTAATTTCTCAAGCAAGGATCAGATTGTGTCTACCAAAACCAATCTTAAATTGATATGCAGGCTGTCTTACAAGTATAATTACTTACATATGTACCTGAGTATTATATAGGTACATAAATGTGTATATATGTGGTGTAAGCATGGTGGCACACAGGGTAGGGACAAGAGAGAAATCATTTTAAAAAGAGATAATAGTTCTATCAAAAGAAAACAACACTGAAATTGTCCATCCTTTGGCAATGATTTTAAAAAGTACAAACAATCTTCGGAGTGAAAAGAGGTCATGTCTATATATGATAATAGGATATTATGAATAATAATTTGAAAATATATATCAAATGGGAAAGAAAAAAAATCTAGCAAAATTATCCATTAACTGAAAACCTGAATGGTACTGTAAGCATTAAGAAATTTAACAAGGGGCTGGGAATTTAGCTCAGTGCCACTGTACTTGCCTGGCAAGGACAAGGTCCTGAGTTCAATCCCCAGTACCACAAAACAAAACAAAACAAAACAAAACAAAAGAGTATCATGTATTCATCCCTCAAAGAGAACTATAAAACTCAGGTAAAGTTTTACTAGTAAGAAATCAAGAGCAAGGACCCAAGTTCGATCCCTGGTACCAAAAAAAAAAAAGATCTTTATGCATACATACAACCAGCAAAGAACTGATTTTCAGAATATATACAGAACTCTTTCTAAATAGGCATATGCCACAACATAGGAAGCCTGAATGACAAACAAATATATCCCACATGATTAGAAAACAAGGAAATAAAGAGTTAAAATCACAATGAGATACCACTTCAAAACCAAAACAAAAATACAAAGTCTTGATGAGAACAGAGATTAATTAAAAACTGTCATATACTGCTTTTGAAAATGGAAATTATACAGCTAGAGAAAAGTAATCTGGCATAATTCATGAAGATGTGCGTGTAATATAGTGTGTTTTTAGCAATACTTTTTTATACTAGTAATAACCTGAAAATAACTCAGTATCAATCAAAAGTGACAAAAATTATTATATAGTTATAAAACAGAAAACTGTAGAATAGTGAAATTAAATAATGCTAGAAACATACTGTTGAACAAAAAAATGCAAGTCAAAGGTTATATAAAGTGAGCCCATTATATAAAGCTCAAAATATGCAAGACAAATAAATACCAATTAGAGATATAAATGTGGCAGAAGGGGCCGGGGATTTAGCTCAGTGGTTCCACCACCTGTCCAGCAAGCGCAAGGACCGGAGTTTGATCCCCGGTACCAAAAAAACAAAAAAAACTTAATGGCAGAGTAGTACTTCATTGTATAAATATGTGGCAGAACTTTACAAGAAAAGATGTTCCTTTTGAAGGGAGAAATGACAGGATCAAGTCAGATATTGGGCTTCAAAGATAATGTTAATATTCTTTTTTACACACGTACTGATATTTAAAATAAGTGTTTAGAACTTACTACTTCACTGTGTGGTATCTGAAATAAAGATTTCTTTTATGGTAACATTATTGCTGAATAAATTCATTTATAAAATATAGCTTTAAAAAAATTTTTTTTGAAATACCATGAAATCCCCTGCAACTATGAAACTAAAATCAACTAAAGGGAAGAGAAGGAGAATTTATATATAAGAATGAATAGGTATCTGAGCATAAGCTATACTGAAAACATACAATTCATAGCAATAACATAAATTTCCTACCTTTATTGGTGAAATATGAGAATGTGAAACAAATCCATGGACATTCTCAATCTCTGACAGGTTCTTCTCTGAGACATGAACCAATTCGGGTCCCATCACCTCATTAGTGATTTGTGGGGAAATGTGCTCTTGAGATGTATCTTCATCCTGATACCGATATTTCTGCAAAGAAAACCACTAAATATGAGGAAGGCCTAAAAAGCAAAATAAATGTAGCTCAAATCACAGTTTGCAAAACTAGTCAAACAATATAAATAATATGAAAAGTATATTTTACGGTTTACTAGATCAATCTGAGAAAAACAGGATTCCATGTTAAAGTCATGCCAATAATTTAATAAAAATTATTTGACTACCAAAAATAACTCTAAGCCATATGAAATAGAAGCCTGACTGTTCATCTGTCCATCTACCCAAAGTTAACTGAACCATGTATTTCTAAAATATGGCTGTTTAAGTGAAGTCAGCATGAAAAGTCAAATTTACTTAGCTAAATTAGTCTGATTTTCTTGTTCCATTAACTTGTACAAAAATTGAGGGGAAAAGATAGCCATCTCAATCTCTAAATGAAATCAGTCCAGTAGAAAACAGCATTTTAAACCTACAAAATAATCTCTCTCTCTGACACACACACTCTTCTAATCAATCTAGTTTTAAAAGATTAATAGTTTTAAAAAGCCAAAACCTCATACTATACATTAAATCATAATTATAGGAAAGAGGAGAAAATATCACACATACTCAACACAGGCTGTGACGGTTTATCCATAAACACAAAATCAAAACAGATAAAATATAATAGTCTCCACTTCCCATCACCCCCAAATAAACTCATCCATAAAGCAAAAGCACAAATAAAGAGCAACAGAAGAAGTTTTAAAGCAACGTACAAAGGATTATTAGCTACTATAAGCTGCTCTTAGAAGACTAGTCAACGAACATAAAGGGATATTTTTAAAAGTCATATAAATTTATCAGTAAATTTTTCCTCTAAGTAAACTTACAGAAAAAATGTGCAATTTAATTAATAGGCAAAAAAAAAAAAGACACTACTACCACTCAGAGATATGGGTATAAATCATCACATTTGTAGTAGAGGTCTCTTTCTGATAAGTAGTGTGGCAATGTTTCAAAGCCCTGAAAATGTTTTTACTCCTAGTAAAATTCCACTTCTAAGAACTGATCTTAGAGACAACATCAATGAAAAATATAAATACTGGTTGTGTATAGAAAAAAGCAAACATTATTGGGCCGGGGATTTAGCTCAGTGGTTCCGGCGCCTGCCTTGCAAGCGCAAGGTCCCCAGTTCAATCCTCGGTACCAAAAAAAAAAAAGAAAAAAAAGAAAAAAGCATACATTTCTAAAATATAAGCATACAAAAACTCGGGACTGCTAAAAGTTACTATACATGCTCCTCCTGTACTTTCTAAACAATATCCTTCCATGAAATGGTACAAAAGCATAGAAAACCACAATCTGGTTTACATTGGCTACCCTATTTAAGACAATATAAGAAATTTGTTTTTACATGTAAATCTCAGTAACTTCAAAATTTAAAAAGGGGAATTCTCTGATCCTATAAGGAAGGCTGAAATTAACATAAACATACTTTTTTTTTTTGGTACCGGGGATCAAACTCAGGACCTCGTGCTTGCGAGGCAGGCGGTGGAACCACTGAGCTAAATCCCCGGCCCAACATAATTATACTTAATAAAACCTAATACTGTTCATACAGTCAGTTGACTGTATGGGTTGTAAGTAATCTCATATCTTGATAGTAGATATAATGTAAAGAAGGAAATTTTGGTGTCATTTTTGAAATTTTACAGGCACTCCACAACTTAGTATGCACTTTAGGGAAAGATACATACATAAGGACACTCACTACCGTATAATTTGGAAAAAAAAAACTGGAACAAACTACAATACATCTATCACAGGAAGCACTGTAGAAGTTGGGTAGAAATCTATAAAGGATAAAGACATTAAATTATTGAATGAAAAGCATATCTGAATATCACATATTATATATGAAACTATGTAAGTACATAAATATATAAAGTTATATACAAATATACATACACAATTTGAACATTTTTAAACAAATCAAGTTTTAAATATCTTTCAATCTGTAAGTTTTCCTTTGATCTCTATTTTTATTTCTTATAATTAAAGAAAAACATGAGACACTTGACCTGTAAGATTCTCAGTAAAATCACTACATATATACAGGATTATTCAATGTGGTCCTTTGGGTTCTATTATTTCCTGAAAATTGCCAAGTAGATCCAACAGCTTAATCAGTCTCATGTTCAACTCGCTTGCTAACTACAGGTCGTGTTCTTTTAACAGGAAGCACATAATATCTGGTTATGTCTTTCTGGTATCTTAGCAGCTCTTGACATTAAATGGCTCAATCACTTCATTTATGGGGGACTGGCATTGCTAAATGGTGACAATCCAATCTTTTTCACTAATTAGATGGAACAGATGTATAAAGATATACTTCACCTATCATTTGGTAACTTGCTGGTGCGGTTCACACAGCAATAACAAAAAACAAAACAAAAACACTTATATTTGTCCCTTTTTTGACTTATTTTGAAGACAGAAAAAAAAAATGACTCCCTATCATACTCCTAAGATGACCTATATACTATATATATTTTTTTTCCAATGCAATTCCTATCAAAATTCCACCTGGATCTCCCCCACCCCAGATTAATGAGCTGATCTTAATATTCATATGCAAGGGATCCAGAAGAGTCAAGACAAATCTGGAAAAAGAAAAACAAAGAGGAGGAGTCACACCTCTTGACTTCTTTTTGGTACCGGGGATTGAACTCGGGTCCTTGAGCTTGCGCAGCAGGTGGTGAAACCACTGAGCTAAATCCCCAGCCCTTGACTTCTAAACTTACTATGAAGCTACACTATTCAAGACTGTAGTACTGGCAACATAAGGACAGATATACAAATCAGTAGCACAGAATTAAGAGTCCAGGTGATAGATCCTTCTATTTATGATCTATTGATTTTTTTTATGCATGCCAAGATAATGCAATGAGAGAAAGAATGATCTTTGTAGTAAATGATGCTGGGACAACTGAATGTAAAAAATGAAGACATTAGAGACCCCTTCTTTACATCATGTACAAAAATACAAAATGTATCAAGAACAAGAGCTAAAGATAAGAGCTAAAATAAGAGCTAAAGCTATAAAACTCTTGGAACAAAAGTAAGTATGAATCTTTGTGAACCTGGATTAGGCAGTGTCTCAGATGTAACATCTTGAGCATCAGCATTAAAGAAAAACAGATGAATTGGTGTTCAAAATGAAAAAATTTTATTCATTAAAAGGCACTATCAAGAAAGTGAAAAGACACACACACTATGGGAGAATATATTTACAAATAATATATTTGATAAAAGTACAGTACCCAGAATACATAAGAAACTCTTACACACTAACAATAAAAAACAAGCAAATTTTAAATCAGTGTAAGCATTTCAACAAACATTTCCCCAAAGATATACAAATGGTCAACAAGTGTATGAAAAGACATTCAATACCTGATGGCATTGAAAAAAGCCAATCAAAACCACCATGATATATTACTTCATGTCAAACAGGATGGCTATAATAAAAGATTGACAATGAACATGTGTGAATCTCATACATAGGTGACAGGAATGTAAAGTGTTGGGAAACTATAGTTTGACAGCTCCTCAAAAGGTTACAAGGAGTGGCCATTTCACTCCTACGTATACACATACTAACTGAAAATAAAATGTTCAATCAATAACTTGTGCAAATGTTCAGAGCAGCACTATTCATTACAGCACCAAAGTGGAAATTTTCAACTTAAATGTCCATCAATTTGTGAACAATTAAAACATGATACATGTTAACACGAGTATTAGCCAACCATGAATTAGAATGAACTACTGATACATATTAGAACATGGAAATATACCAAGAGAAGCCAGAAACAAAAGGCTATATATTATATGAAATCCATAGAGCCAGAAAGTGAATTAGCATTTGCCAAGGATCGGAGAGAAAAAGAAATTAGAACCAGCTGTTGTTAGTGAATAGGAAATTTCTGTTTGGGGTAATGAAAACATTTTGCAATTAGTGGTAGTAGCTGCTCAAGCTTGTGCATAGAACTATGTACTTTAACAGGGTAAATTTTACCATATATGAATATATTAATTAAAATTATTATTAAAATCGTTACAAATTGATGAACACAAATATTTGACTCATTTAAATTCACTCCAAAAACACTTTTTGAAGCTCAAATTGTCACTGTATTTCTATCCAGTGGAAATTTCTTAGTTCAGAGGTTTTTTTGTTTTTTTTTTTTTGTACCAGGGATCGAACTCGGGTCCTTGCCCTTGCACAGCAGGCAGTGAAACCACTGGGCTAAATCCCCGGCACAGTTCAGAGTTCTTTTATACATGTAGCTTTAAGAAAATCTAGTACATTGAAAGTTGCCCCCCCAAATTTATTATTTATTGAGGGTTTTTTGCTTGTTTGGTGTTGCTGATCAAACCCAGGGTCTTACAAATGTCAGGCAAGTACACTACCATTGAACTACTTTTTTAGCTCTTTTATTATTTATTAATAATTCAAAAAAGGGACACCTGGGTTAATTATAATTATTACTTAAATATTTCCAAGTCCTTTTAAGGCTCAACATTACATTGCATAATAATATTCATCTGTATTTCTTACTATCTAGTGATCTCAACCTATTTTCAATTATTGGTAAAACTAAAAACTTCATATAAACTAATATAAAAAGAATTATAAAATGGTGATGTGGGAATATGAAGGAAAAATGAGTACAGGAAGTGGCTGAGGATTTAGCTCAGTGGCACTATGCCATGGCTCGAAAGCAGAAGGTCCTGAGTTCGAACCCCGGCATAAATAAATAAATAAATAAATAAATAAATAAATAAATGCAGTAAGAACATTCTAAACAAACTCCTTCATCTTTTTCTTAATGCTTTTCTTTTGTTTTCATTTTGCGAAGGCCCTCCTGCCTCAGGTTCCCAAATAGCTGGGATTATAAGCATGTGGCACCACACCCAGCTTAATATATTATTAAGGCTGGTATCCTTGGCATAAAATCTTGCAATGTCCTATTATTTTACTT